TAACCTTGGGTTTTGAGGAAATTACGTTCAAAAAAGTGAAAACGAATACTTCACTGCACGGTACTGTATATATCAACAGTGAAACGGCAAATTTTTTTCTTAGCACTCACAAAGCGTAAAGCGTCACACTACGACCCCCGTTGGTGTAGGATTGACGCTGCCTCCGACCTTGCGAATACGACCCCCTTTTCGTCGGCCGAATACGACCCCCCTCGTTGGACTTTGTCCAACGGACGGTGTGGAGAGTCCTCTGGTTTGACGAAGCACTTCTTCCATTTAAGCAGCTAAAATTTCCTGAATCACCTTCAACTTTTTTGCTCAGCTCTTGGGAACATTTGTAATTGGAAAATACCTGCAAGAATTCCGTTCGCTGAAAGTTTGATGATTTGGAGCAGTATCATCAGTGCTTTGGGCAACCCTCCATTGATTTTTATCGATAAAATCATGGAAATCAATGCGAAGATATATCATGAAGAGGTCTTCAAGAAAGCTCTGGTGCTCTGGAAGCAGAGTCACAACAATGTTGTCTTTCCTTGTCTATGAACAAAAAATAAAGTCTGGATATTTTTATTTCATATCGTTGAGGTATGTGAGCCACACGAAGCAGTTACTTGGCTGCCAGGAAGCGAGGTGTAGCGCTTTCACGACGAAAGGTGCGCTGGTTGCTGAGCAGGACTTCGAAAGCACTCCGCCCCCAAAAGCGATCCGCCCACTAGTTTAGTTGATTTGGACGAGCTGCGTTGCCAGCAGCAACACAAGTGGAGCAACTCTTCTGGGGCATGGTTTGACATAGTTCCACCGAGCGCGTTGCATATGATCGTATATTCGTACGCTGTCTGAGCGGCTGCCCGTCCGCTGGCGAAATTCAACGGCCAAATGAGTTGGTCCCGTTTTGCATTCTCCTGATAGGCTTCTCTGCTTTTTTGGCCACTGATGTACCATGGAGCACTCCCACAACCCCTGTAAACTTCGCTAAACTCTAGAACCTTTCGTAATCACTGCCTTTGAATGGTCAAAAAGAAGAGTTGTGGTAAGCCTAATTCATTGGTGCTTCTTGTTTTCGGAAACACGCCACACATAAGCTCGTGCTGTCTAACTCGAGATCGGCAATGGACAGCTTCTCTACTCATTCCGACTCCTCCGCACGCTATGACTGGCACTTTGATTGCCCCTCTAGAAGAGTGGAGAATTAACAGAGGAATATCTGCTCAAAAAGATTCGCAAACGATCACTATGAAAGGGCAATAGTAGTTAGTTGTCACGCAGCTTCATTGTGAACCGGATGTTATCGAAAACAACGCATCAGAAATCTGTTCGAAGGGCAAATTATCAAAATAAAATTACTTTATTTCGTTCTCATACGACCATCGGTTTTTTCAACTGATGGCGATAAGACTTTCAGAGTGCGGAGCACAGAAAGGTTGCTATCAAATATCCAAGTTTTAGCACAGGCTTGAAGATTTCCATATCTGTATGAATTATTTATTTTCTTTTCGTATTCTCGCATTCGGCAGCTTGGAATATTGAAGAATACCTCCTATGATGCGAGGTAGCACAGAATCCTCTTGAGAACACTTGTTCAGAGGCCTCGAATGCATTGGAAGGGTCTCTATTTGAAGGCTTCATCGCTCCTTACGATAAAAAGCCAGCCCTAATAGGCCTGGCTTGACAATCTGGCACAAGGCAGGATTCGTCTAGCGTGCACCACGTTTAGTTTGTGATGGCCGATGCACCAAGAAAAGCAGCACCTCCTAGTATATATGTGTACGGTTCAGTGTTAAATTTTATGCTAGCGCTCTTCACACTGTGAAAACACGGCAGCGAGAAAGCCTATGGGCGGGGCCTAATAGCGGCGTGAAGGGCGGAGCCCCACCTCTGACGTCGCGGCTGCGACAAGGGCTAATTTCAATAATACTGCTCGAAAACATTTTCAAATTCGTTAATATGAAGGCAATATAAAGGGATGGGCTAAACTCCCACACTTGTCACAAAATGTTTCTCGTTCTCGCAGCGGTCCTCTCCGTGATAGTGAATGCCGGTGTCAAAGGTAAGTGTAGCATTTGTATAGCACTTATCTGATTTTATTATGTCCGCAAAGACTCCCTTAGATTAGTTATGCGAAATTTTTTTTACTTTTTAGTTCGACCATGGCCCATGCCCCCGTACCTGGAAAACATTTATAAAGAGTTTTTTCTTCTCTTAATAGAGACATGGTTAGTCATTTTTTGTTATACCCAAGTGGAGAGCAGGGTTTAGGCAGCAATTTCCCACAGCATGAGTTCAAAGATTAAATTCTTCACAAAATCAACCTAATAGCAAGTTTTGCCTACAGGGATGGAATAGGACCATATCGCGTCAGGCTAAGACAAGACTACTGAAAGGACGTGGGATTAAGGCATCCCAATATCATGCGCACTACCATTCAGTGGGTTCAAAGATTACCATTTCATGTTCTCGCAAACAAACGTGTTTTTAAGGGAATATCCGCTCTGGAATAATCTGACAATGGCGGATAAATTATTTTACACCCTCCTCCCTTACGGTATTTACAGGAGTGAGGTGAGTTGTTAAATAAACGCTGTAAGGTGTAAGTCTTCCGAAATGCGTTGAGATGACATCAGTCGCTTCACTGCTAAAGTGTAACTTATGATAGGCGACCGGACGACACATAATCTGTTCCTGTTACTTCAAGTTTAATAGTTGCCCCTGCTTTACATGACGTTGCCCATTCTCATGATCAGTTTGAGGAGGCATGCATCGCAACTTGCGCACTGGTGTGTCGTTAGGTTTGAGATTTTGAGGCGCATTGGGTCAATGAATTACTCGAAACCAATCTGAACCAGCATGCATGAGACGAGTATATCCAATAGGCGCGTGGTTTTGTCGGCCGCTCGACTATGCAGCAGGCGGCGGGAGGAAGCGTTGGTTTCTTCACTCTTGGCTGTGTATACTGAATTTTCCCTTTAGGTTAACGGTATCGTGACTGTTGCTAAATATTGATATTATTTAGATCGAGAAGCTTCCCAAAGGGGTGCAAGTATGGATGCAACCATCTCTATGGTACACGTCGGAAGGTTTGGCTCCTGCGTACTTTGTGCTTCTTCCGAACCACCCTAACAAAATGATTTTGCTACCATTCGATGACCTTTTTTGAGGTCTGTTAAATCTTGCTACGCTATGTGTTTGTTTGGATAAAACCTGCACAAAACGATTCCGTGCAATTATCTCTGAAATTTCGTAACACAGAATTACCATCCTACTGTCGACAAACGTAGAAGCATTACACGACTGAAAAGCAAT